TTCGGACGAGTCCGTAGAGCCGAGTGGCCCGTATCCAGAGCTTGTGGGCTGCCTCATGTGCCTGATGACTTGCAGACGACTTGACCTCGCATACCCTCTCAGCCTTCTAGCTCGCTACGTGGCTCCCGGTAGGCACCGAAAGGTACACTGGGATGCTGCGAAGAGGGTGTTGCGCTACTTGTGCAGTACGTCGGGCATGGGGCTCGTGCTTGGAGGACGGGCTCGATTTGTCCTCACTGGTCACGCAGACGCTTCCTGGGTTGACAACTGGGCTACGCAGCGGTCGTCACAGGGTTACACCTTCAGTCTTGGCTCCGGTTCTGTCTCTTAGTGGTCTACCCGCTCTTCTTCTGTTCTCACCTCAAGTTGTGAGGCTGAGATCTACGCTGGGGCAATGGCTGCACAGGAGTTACGCTGGCTCACCTACCTGCTGACCGACTTGGGAGAGGCGCCTCGTTCTCCTCCAGTTCTCTATGTCGACAACAAGGCCATGCTTGCCTTGTGTTAGGAGCACAGACTGGAGCACAGAACGAAGCACATTGCTCTGCGCTACTTCCTTGCTCGAGAGTTGCAGCAGCGTGGTTAGCTTCGTCTTGCTTATGTGGCCTCTCGGGCCAACACTGCTGATGTTATCACCAAGGCACTTCAGCCTTGTGATCATCAGCGTTTCTGTACTGTTCTAGGTCTTGTACCTACTGTGCCTCACTTGCTTACTTCTTGACTCTGCTTGTATTGTACTCTCTATACATATACCTGCATGCTTACACTTGCTAGGTTGTGTTCACTGTATTGTTTGCTCTCCTTTATATAACTCTGCATGTGAACTGGCCTTGTGGCCATTTGCTTGTGCTCAGACTGCGTGGTGACTTTGTGATCCACCCTGAGCTTGTTTTGTCTTTCTTGACTGGTCTTGTGGCCTCTTGTTCTCCCCCACTTTGCCTATGGGGATGTGTCAAACTTATATGCTATAGTCTATGTAGGATGTAGTGGGGTAGTTCATATAGGGTACAACACTTTTAGGTTTCCTACTTGTACCCACCTGCTTGCTAGTTCATTCATTCATTCGTTCACTATTTTGACACCCCTCTTCTGCCACTCTAGGCCGTCTTGCACTGCCGTTTCTCTTCCCCGAGCTGTCCGAATTACACACTGTAGCTGACCTCGTGACCCATCTGTGCTTACTTGACTCCCGCTACCGAGCCACCCTCACGCCAGAGTTTCTGGCTGAGAACCAGCCCCCCTTGTACCACACCCTGTACTTCCTCACGACTCGCCTCCTTAACACCCTTCGTGTTGTTCGCGACCACTTCTTCTGTTGCACCATGTGTGACTGAGTCAGAGTGATGGTGCGCGCTGCTCTGTCCCAGGTGATCTGCAAGCCAAGATAGCTGCGCAACTCACCCTATCCCAACTCTCTTCTGCAGCTCCGCCTTCACAAGGGCCAGTGCCTCTGTGTAAGCAGTAGCAAAGACCAAGTCGTCGACGTAAACGAGGATGTGGAACAGCGGCAGTGAAGGGACGGTGCGTAGAAACAACGACGGTCAGTAGTTGAACGTCCTTCAGCGCTCTCGCTTTCGATTCTCCTCGCCACAGCCCACTCCTCTGCCTATGGGCCACTCGCTCTCAGCTCCACCTTCGAACGAGTCCGCAGAGCCGAGTGGTCCGTATCCCGAGCTTGTGGGCTGCCTCATGTACCTGATGATGTGCACTCGACCTAACCTCGCGTACCCTCTCAGCATCCTGGCGCGGTATATTGCGCCCGGGAGACACCACAATGAGCACTACCGGGCTGCGGAGAGGGTACTGCATTATTTGTGCAGTACATCAGGCATGGGGTTTGTGCTTGGAGGACAGGGTCGAGTTGTGCGCACTGGGCACTCAGACGCTTCTTGGGCCGACGACCAGGAGACCCAGTGGTCGTCACAGGGTTACACTTTCAGTCTCGCCGCTGGTTCTGTCTCCTGGAGGTCCACCCGCTCGTCTTCTGTACTTAGTTCCAGCTGTGGGGCCGAGATCTACAATGCGGGCTATGGCTGCACAGGAGTTACGTTGGCTGACCTACTTGCTGACTGACTTGGGTGAGCGGCCTCGTTCTCCTCCGGTTCTATACGTCAAGAACAAGGCCATGATTGCCTTGCGTCGGGAGCAGAGGCTGGAGCACAGAACGAAACACATTGCTCTTCGTTATTTTCTCGTACGAGAGTTACAGCAGCGTGGTCAACTTCGCCTCGTTACGTGGCCTCACAGGCCAATACTGCTGATATCTTCACCAAGGCCCTGGGGTCTGGTGATCATCAGCGTTTCTGCACTGCTCTTGGGCTTGTGCCCACTCTGCCTCACTTGCTTGTCTCTTGATCTTGCCTTGTTCTATTGTACACTGCTATATATCTTTATACCTGCATGTTTACACTTGCTAGGTTGTGATCAGTGTACTGCTTTTACTATTATTACTATGCATGTGAACTGGCATTGTGACCACTTGTTTGTACTCGGACTGTGTGGTGATCTTGAGATCCACCCTTAGCTTTGCTTTGCTTCCTTGCTTGACTGGTCTTGTGACCGTTGGTTGTTGTTGCTATCCCCCACTTCGCCTATGGGGGTGTGTCAAAATGAATTATATGCTTGTAGGCTGTGGTGGTGGGGGTTGCCCACATAGGGTACAACCCTTTTAGGGTTGACATTGCTGCTTGTCATTCATCATTCCGCTATTCACAATTTTGACATGGGGGCGTTTATTCTTGGGGGGGAGACGGGGATGAGGGGGGGGAAGGGGGGTGTTTTTGAGAGAGTAAGTGCGATCTGATTCACTTGTTACCCAGTCCTCCGGCGATCTCGTCGCTGTTTTTCTCCCGTCACTCAGTACTGTACAGCGTCGTTCAATCTCGCCTCCTCGCCCTCACTTCCCCTACCCCGTCGCTGTCGCTTCCCCTTCATCGCCCTCGTCGTCGCACAGTTAGTACTCCCGTCGTTCATTCTCGTGGCACTCTCTCACATCCGAGGTGACGTGAGTCGACTCAAAAGTCACCTCGTCGCACAGTTAGAACTCCCGTCGTTCATTTTCGCGGCACTCTCTCACATCCGCCAAGCGCTCGCCGCGTCCCCGCCGTCCCGTCGTTTACACGTGTCATTCTCTCTCCTCACTCTCTCCTCCCGTTAACTTGCCTTCGACACCCCACTTACCACGCCCCTTCGTTCGCACTCTTCAGTCCCTAACCCTCGCTGCACTCCCACACACCCGGCCATCGTTCCTTCCCTTCCCCCCACTTACGACAGCCCTCTCTCCCCCCACTGACCCCCCCCTCCCTTTCCCGCGCTTACCGCAATAGCTAAGCGTCGGCAGCTCCGGTCAGAGTTCCCCACTCTGTTCAGTTCGGGCGCCTAAGCAAATCGCGCTAGCAACGAACTTCGGGCGCGTAGGCTAATCGCGCTAGCGACGATCCGACGGCGAAAGTTAGGCACACCGATCCAAGGCAATCCGGAGTGTGTTTTGTTCACGTTACCGTAGCATAACCACTGGTAACCCCAAAATTCGTCGAAATTCCTCCGCGACAGCGCGGAAAACGGCTAGAGAGACCCCGGTAGCGACTTCAGTGACGTCGATTCCGTCAGTTCCGTCAGTGACGACGTCAGCATGGCGGATCTGCTCCGCGATCTTGACAGCTGGCAGCAGCTGGCAGAGGCGGCGCGGCCGGGCGGCGGAGGTGGGGGTAGAAGCCGAGAGGGGCGCGCCTCCGGGAAGGGAAGGAAGGCGGATAAAGAGGGTGGGAAAGCCAAGGTAGGCATGGGCCCGCCTTGCCTTGATCTATCGTGTGCTAGCGTGAAGGGTCCGACGTGGGTGGATCGACCACCAGATGGTTTCACCTTCCTCCTACCATAGCGGTCTTGATGGTATTATTTTTCTAGACATCCAAAAAGTGATGCAATCATTGACTACCGGAATTCCCGCACACAGCGATCTGATCTGAGGATAACGGGCTTTGCGAGATTGTGTTTTGACTTCCCTCCATTCCCTGTGCATGCATGCTGCCATGTGGATATGTGCATGCATGCTTACATGCATGTGCATATGCATGTGCATGATGCGTGGGTGCATGGTGCCATGCATGCATCATGGTACTGTCAGGTCGGTACGGCAGCAGCAGCAAAAAAGAAGGCCAAGTCAAAACCTAACAGCACCCAGAGTAACACGTCAGCACGAGCCACATCACCAGCACCAGCACCATCATCATCACCATCATTATCTGCAGCAGAAGGAGAAGCAGCAGAAGGAGAAGCAGGAGGAGGAGGAGCGGGAGGAGGAGCGGGAGGGGGGCCGCCGATCAGGCACACAGTGGACTACTTTCGAGAGCACTGGATCCCGCCTCCCCCTCCTGTGCGTTGCTTATAGCTGAGACAGGGGGTGGCATGGGGAAGGTAAGAGGGAGAGAAAGAGGGGGGTGGGGGGTTCGGGGAGGTGGGTTTTTTTTAGATGTCTGGAATGTCTTCTCCTGTGCGCTAGTTGAGGAGGAGGGGAGAGGAGGGGTGGGGAGGGGCGAGGGAAGAGAGAGGGGTGGTGGTGACAAGGAGGAGGAGGTTGGTGTGAAGATTACCGCAGTTCGGTGCAGTGAGGTGCAGTTCGGTGCAGTGAGGTGAGTGTGCTTTGTGGTGTTATGGTGGTGTGGATGGTCTGTGATGGATTCTGCAGTGCAGAATCTACCCTAAGATCCTATTTTCCAAATCCACAATCTTAACCTTCAACCCCGAACCTCGAACCTTAAGCCCCGAACCTTCAACTTAAGCCCGAATCCCTAAACCTTAAACCCTCACCTTCAACCCGAAAGTTGGAACCGTAACCTAACCTGAAAGGTTGAAACCTCGAGCCCTGACCTGCTTGTGACTGTTACGCATCATGATCTGCAGAAGGAACGAATACTCCTCCCCCCATATTCTTTCCGTTTCCTGATGCAGAAACTCTCTTTCATTCCGCATCTGACGCACTTTAAGAACTCTCAGAACGCCCCATGTTCAGCCAGACAGTCAGATGGGCACTTAGACAGTCCCTGCCATCTAAATCGTTCATTTGATAACAGTAGTGTTTTGAGACGTCTCAAAACCCTACTTCACTACGTGACTCTCAGAATTCCCTGTGTTCAGACAGATGAGCCCTCAGAAAGGCTGTGCCTTCTGAATTCTTCATTCCATTTTCCAATGCGCTGTGCTTCCTTCTTGTCATGCTCACAGGCATGCCCTGCCAAATCACTCATTCCCCACTCTTTCTGGTAGCCAGATCAGATCAGATCCTATCTGGCCGGCAAAGGCCCCTTAGTGCAAATACAGTTGTTGAACGAACAACCATATGTCGTGCCCCCCCATCTCTCATGCCCTGCCATGCCAAGTCAGCCCCACAAGAAACTCTTAGCCTACCCCGCTTTCTTTGTAGGCCGGTTTTGAGAATTCTCAATGCCCCTTTCTTGAACAACCGTCCATCCCCCCTCCCCTTCCAAAATTCTAACTGCACTGAGCTCCTTGTATGTCTCACGCTCTGATAAGAAGAAACTTTGAACCCACCCCACTTTCTTATACAACCATCCATCGTGCCTCCCCACCTCCCCCCTGCCCACCCCCCTTCCCCCCCTCTCCCCCCCCCTCCCCCCGAATCTCGCATATCTCGTGCACTGCCAGGTCAACCCTGAGCCGTCCACGTCAGCGCCAGGCTGGAACGTCGGTTTCCTAGGTGGCAGCAGCAAGAAGCCAGCAGGGCAAGCCAGGGCAACAGGAGCAGCATCAGGCGGAGGAACAGCAGGCGGAGCAGCAGCAGGTTCGGAAGGAGCACGTGGGGCAGCAGATGAGTTAGCAGTCATTGGGGGAGCAGATGGGCTAGCAGTCATTGGGGGAGCAGATGGAGTAGCAAGAAGAGCAGCAAGAGGAGTGGAATCAAAAGCAACACGAGCAGGGGGAGGGGGAGGGATCAGTGGTGGGAGAGGAGCAGGGGCGATTGGGGAAGCAGGGGGGGCGGCGGAGCTGATTGGCAGACTGGCAGCAACAGCGGATGTTGGGGGGGAGGGGGATGGAGACGAGATTGGGGGTGTGGGGGCGGGGAGGGGGGGAATGGAGGCAGCTGCTGCAGCAGAGAAGGAGAGGGTGAGTGGGGAAGAGGGAGTGGGAGTGGTGGGGATGGGAGGGAGATAAGTGAAAGAAGGGGATGGGTGATTGGGAAGGGGGGGGGGATGGAGACGAGATTGGGGGTGTGGGGGCAGGGAGGGGGGGAATGGAGGCAGCTGCTGCAGCAGAGAAGGAAAGGGTGAGTGGGGAGACGAGGGCGGGGAGGAATGGAGTGAATGATGGGGATGGGAGAGAGGTGAGTGATGGAGAAGGAGGTGGGTGATTGAGAGGGAGGGGGATGGAGGCGATATTGGAGGTGTGGGGCCCGGTGGGGAGGGATGTATGCAACTGACAAGGAGAGGGTGAGTGGGGAGAGGAGGGAAGGGAGTGGCTGGGAAAAGGAGAGGGATGCAAGGGATCGGGAGGAAGATGGAAGATGGGGGAATTGGAGTTAAGATTCGAAATTGGTAAGACTTTTGAGTCGACTCAAAAGTCACCTCAGTGGTAAGAGCAGACAAGGAGACTTATTTCTAAGCCCAGTCGCTTCTAGGACTGGCTCAAAGAATTGCCTCATCCCGTTATCCCACCTGGACTTGGAGGCCCCATCATCTCACTCTCAGAGAATTACTCTCTATCCCGGTTACCCCACCACTGTGGTGTTTCGAAGCCCAAACCCACTCTGCCCATCTGCTTTCCCACATCCCTGAGTCTCTGCTTGCTTGCTCCCATCCCACTGCTGTCCCACTGCTGTCCCACCGATGTCCCACCGATGTCCCCTTGTGTTGTGTGCATGCGCTCTGTGCTGTGCGCTTACCATCAGGGCAACGAGCATTTCAAGGCCGGTCGCTTTGAGGACGCCCTCTCCATCCCATCCCACTGCTGTCCCACCGCTGTCCCCTTGTGCGTGCGCGTTCTGTGCTGTGCGCTCATCATCAGGGCAACGAGCATTTCAAGGCTGGGCGCTTTGAGGACGCCCTCTCCTGCTACTCTCAGAGCATCGCCCTGCATCCCACCGCTGTGGCCTTTGCCAACCGAGCCATGGCAGCACTGAAGCTGGGCAGGTGAGGAAATCAACGGTGGAGCAAGGGGCTCCAGCCCCTGGTGCCTCTTACCCCCATACCTCACACCCTGTCATGCTACTCTCAGAGCACTGCTTTGCATCCCACCGCTGTGGCCTTTGCCAACCGAGCCATGGTAGCCCTGAAGCTGGACAGGTGAGGGGAGGGAGAGAAGCGACAGAGGGGCTAGGGGTACCAGCCCCTGTCACCTCTCAACCGCAGACTTCACGCCCTCTCCTGCTACTCTTAGAGCATCGCCCTCCATCCCACCGCTGTGGCATTCGCCAACCGAGCCATGGCAGCCCTAAAGCTGGGCAGGTGAGGGGAGGAGAGAAGGGTTGAAATGTGAGAGAAGGTCGGGTAGTGGCTGAACGAGGAGACATGGGGAAGGGATGAAAAGCAAGACATCTGCTTAGACAAGACATGGGCACTAGCCCTTCCGTCCGATCATGGGCTTTTATCTAATGTGCTTGTGTCAATCGAATCTGCTTGTATCAGGTACGAGGAGGCCGAGGCGGATTGCACAGAAGCGTTGGATCGGGACGATGAGTATGTGAAGGCGCTCGCCAGAAGGGCCACAGCTAGACTCAAGCTCATTCGGCCCATCGACGCGCTGCAAGGTGGGTGGGGTGCGGTGGAGTGCGGTGGAGGCTGAACGATGAGTATGTGAAGGCACTCGCAAGGAGGGCTACAGCCAGGCTCAAGCTCAGTCGGCCCATTGACGCGCTGCAAGGTGGGTGGGGTGCGGTGGAGACTGAGTCGACCCATTGACGCGCTGCAAGGTGACTGGCCTTGCCTTGTTGCACAGAAGCGTTGCATCGGGGAAATGAGTATGTGAAGGCGCTCGCACGGAGGGCTACCTCTATGCTCAAGCTCAGTCGTCCCATTGATGCGCTGCAAGGTGGGTGGGGTGCGGTGGAGTGCGGTGGTATATGGTGGTGATGGTGCTGCTGTTGCTGCCAGTGTGTGCCATGCCAGCCATCTCACCTTGTTGGATCGGGACGATGAGTATGTGAAGGCGCTCACCAGGAGGGCTACTGCTAGGCTGAGGCTGAGTCGGCCCATTGACGCGCTGCAAGGTGGGTGGGGTGCGGTGGGGTGGTGATGCTGCCGTTACTGCTGCTGCAAGTGTGCATGGTGCTGCAAGTGTGCATGGTCCCGCTTTGCTGAGTCGCGACAATGAGTATGTGATGTGAAGGTGCTCGCCAGGAGAGCTACGGCAAGGCTGAAGCTGAGTCGGCCCATTGACGCGCTGCAAGGTGGGGTGCGGTGAAGTGTGATGGTGAGGTGTATGGTGGTGCTGCTGCGGCTGCAATTGTGAGCGATCTCACCTGATTGCATCGCAGCAATACGCTGTGAAGGCGTTGGCACGGAGGGCTACTGCGAGGCCTGCAATGCAAGGTGGGGTGCGGTAGGGTGTGGTGGTGATGGTGCTGCTGCCAGTGTGTGCGCCATCTTGCCTTGTCGCATCCGAGCAACGAGTATGTGAAGGCGTTGGGACGGAGGCCACTGCCAGGCTCAGGCTCACTTCGACGCGCTTCAATTCCAGGTGGCAGTGCGGTGGTGTGCAGTATTGTGTGGTGGTGATGGCGGTAGTGGTGGTGGTGGTGCTGCCCGTGTGCGCCATCTCACCCTTGTTGCATCGAGACGATGAGTATGTGAAGGTGCTCAGTGAGTATGTGCACGGAGGGCTACTGTGGGGCTCAGGCTCAGTCGGGCCATCGAGGCACTGCAAGGTGGGATGTGGTGGTGTGCGGTGGTGTGTGCGGTGGTGTGTGCTGGCGGTGGTGCTGCTGCAAGTGTGTCGCATGACAGCAATGAGTAAGGGAAAGCGCTTGCCAGGGGGGCTACGGCCGGCTCAGGCTGCGTTGACCCATTGAGACGTTGTAAGGTGGGGTGCGGTGGTGTGCGGTGATGACGTTGCTGTTGCTCTGTTGCTGTGTTGTTTCTTCCCTGTTGCTTGCCGTTGCTTCTCTACCAACTAGTACCTGCTGAAGCAGCAGGCAGAGCCAAGCACTCTTGTCTGAGAGGCAAACGCTCTGCTCCCCTCCTGTCCATCCATCCTCCATCCCCCAACGTCACCACAGAAACCTGCTGAAGTAAAAGGCATAGTTTTGAGTCGACTCAAAACTAGGCAAGGCAAAGTCATCCCCGCCTTCATCCCCATCCCCCCAAGAACAGACATGAGCCAAGGCCTCTCTCTTGATCCTGGCAACAAGGGACCTGCTGAAACAGCAAGCACATGCGAACATCCCCCAACCAAGGCCTATCGCTTGATCCCAGGGACCTGCTAAAGCAACACGCGTAGGCGAACGCTACGATACACAATGCCACCCTTCTCCCCATCCCTTGGACTTGTCTCTATCTCCCACTCACTGCCACAGACATAAGCCAAGGCCTATCTCTTGATCCCGGCAGCAAGGATTTTATCAAGCAGCACGTACTGGCAAACGCTCCCCAATCTTTCCTCCATCCCCACTTCTCCCCCCACCCGATCCATCCCCATTTCGTCTTCCCTCTCGTCCACCCCCAACCCCCCCGCCACAGATATAAGCCAGGGCCTATTGCTTGATCCCGGCAATAAGGATTTGCTAAGGCAACAGGCAGAGGCGAATGCGCTCCTACAGAAGCAGGCCAAGAAGGTGGGTGCTGAGGGGTTGAGAGCGGTTCTACATGGTGCTGAGTGGGTGAGGTGGGGGAAAAGGAGGTGAAGTCTAGGGTGTGGGTTTTCAGGGGGAAGAGGAGTTGCTATCCCGCTTGCAGGACCTTAGGGCCTTCAGAGTAAACATAGGTAGTAGTTGCTTTGTTTACTCAACGCACCACGCTCGTACCTTTCTGTCCTTCCCACCGTTATCATATAATATGATATCATATCATATCATGTCCTATCCCGTGTGTGTCACATCATCCAGGGAGTGGGTGTGATTGCGAAGGCTCTTAAGGGAGGGACAGAGAGTAGCCAAGTCATAGTGGCTGGGGTTTCAGGAGGGGCAGGAGGATCAGGAGGCACTGCCAGTACTTCAGGGCTTACTACAGATGTCACAGGCGGAATAAGGGTTCAGGAGATTAAGGAGATTAGGGAGGGTAAAGATGTTAAGGTAGTTCAGGAAAGTAAGGGGGCTAAGGGAGTTAAGGAGGTCAATGGAGTAAAGAAGGCTAAGGATAAGACTACGGAGGTGAAGGGGGTCCTGGAGATTAAGGAGATTAAGGGGGTAAAGGAGGTCAAAGAGGAGAAGACGGTTACAGAGGTTGAGAGGGGTACCGAGAGTTCAGAGGCCACAGAATTTGGTAGGGTAACAGGGGATGGAAGGGTAGACATGAGCACAAGGGCGAACACCTGTTCGGTTCGCCTCGAACGTGTTTGAGGCGAACCGAACAGGTTTGTTTTTTTTGCTTAAATTGTTCGCCGAACAGTGTTCGATGTTCGCCCGAACACGTTCGTGTTCGGGCCGCTGCTGCAATTTGCCCCGCAACGAACACGAACATGTTCGATGTTCGCCCGAACATGCCTTCACAGGCGAACGGCGAACACGTGTTTTTGCTTAAAGTGTTCGCCGAACCGAACAGTGTTCGGTTCGGCAAACGGATGTGTTCGTCTAGGGGCGAACACGAACATGTTCGTGTTCGCCCCTTGCTCATCCCTATGGAAGGGTTGCAGTGGCTGCAGAGTCGGAGGGAGGTGCTGGGGAAGATAAAGGGGTAGGTGAAGGGGGAGGTACAGGGGTAGGAGCGGAGGGAGGTGAGGGGAGTGTAAGGATCAGCGAGGCGGATACACAAGGAGAAGGACCCTTTTCGACTGGAGCAGAGAAAAGGGGAGAGGGAGAGCGCGAGGGGAAGAAGCAGCAGAAGGAGGAGGAGGAGGCGTTAGGAACACAGCCAGAGGGAACGGAGGAGGTCAGGGTGTCGACTGCACTTTTAGAGAGTTGTGCTCCACCCGTCTCTCCCACTGCCTCCTCAACCTCTGCCTCCCATGCGCCTTCAAATGCAGCCGGTGCTGTTCCGCAAGGCGCAGGTGCTGCAGCCATGGGAACAGTTGTTCCGCAAAGCGCAGAGCTCACATCAGCACACCACGTGGCAGTGGCAGTCCAGCAGAGTTCCGTGTTGACTGAAAAGTCATCACGGAATGTTGAGCTGACTTCCGCACGTGAGGTGGTAACAGCCCAGGCTTATGAGTCTACTCACAAGTCACTGCGGGGTGTTGAGCTCACAACAGCTCATGAGGTGGCCATTGCTCGGGCAGCAGAAATTTTGCGAGAAAAGGCAGCTGCGGCAGAGATAATGGGAGTGGCTCGGCACGAGGGGGAGGAAGGGATGAGACAGGAACAGGGGACAGGGAAGCAGGTGGAGCAGCCAGTGGTGGCAGCAACAACATCACCAGTAGCAGCAGCAGCAGCAGAAGCTGTAGCACCTGTTGCAGAAGCAGCAGCAGCAACACCAACAGCAGCAGCAGCAGCAGCAGCAGCACCAGTGGCCCCTCCCGCTCCCCAGTCAGCAGTGGAGTTTGAGAGGCGGTGACGGCGACTGCAGGGGTGTGATGATGCTCAGGCTGCTCTGGTGAAGGTGGGTAATGATGGGTAATGATGGGTAATGGTGGGTAATGATGGATGGGTAATGGTGGGTAATGTGGGTAATGGTGGGTAATGATGGGTAATGGTGGGTAATGATGGGTAATGGTGGGTAATGATGGGTAATGATGGGTAATGGTGGGTAATGATGGATGGGTAATGGTGGGTAATGTGGGTAATGGTGGGTAATGATGGGTAATGGTGGGTAATGATGGGTAATGGTGGGTAATGATGGATAATGGTGGGTAATGATGGGTGGTATAGGCCTAACAAGCATGCAGAGCTAGGTTCAGTGGCACCTCCCCCAATGGCCCCAGTCAGGGCTGGAGTTTGAGAGGCGGTGGCGGCGACTGCAGGGGTTTGACGACGCACAGGCGGCCTTGATCAAGGTGAGTAGCGGGAATGGTACAGGCCTTTGCAAGTATTATCAGGTGTGCGAAGTTAGGTTCAGTGGGAATGGTACAGGCCTTTGCAAGTATTATCAGGTGTGCGAAGTTAGGTTCAGTGGGAATGGTACAGGCCGACTTGACAACTTACATCAGGCATGCTATGGTAGGATGCACATGCACATGCACATGCACATGCACAGGCACAGGCACATGCACAGGCACATGCACATGCACATGCACATACACAGGCTGCGTTGCAGCGTTGGTCAAGGTGGGTAGTGAGTGGAACCGACAGGTGAAGGTGAGTGGCATGTCACATCGAAAACGGGAGGAGGCTCAGCCGCTCCCTCGCTCCTTTTGCTGAAAATCGCTGTTTTCCTTTACTCCCCCTCTCCATCTCCCCTCTCCTCCCTCCCCCCCCTCTCCTCTCCCCTCTGCAGTCCCTCCCTCCGGCCTGCCTGTCAACCATCTTCAAGGACTCTCCCCCACCGCCACTCTCACTCCGCCACTCTCACTCCTCCACTCTCCTCCACTCTCCTCTGCACTCTCACTCCTTCACTCTCACTCCTCCACTCTCACTCCTCCACTCTCACTCCACTCTCACTCCTCCGTCTCTTGCTCCCTCCGCTTCCCTCCCTGCTATTATTGTTACTGGAGGTGTGGAGAGTCCTTGTTGTGCTGTGCCGCTCGACCCCACAACAGTCCCTCCCTCCTGTGTTCCTAATGCTCCTCCCCCCACACCTGCAGTCCCCCCCGCCTGCCCAACAGTCCCTCCCGCCTGCCCATCTGTTGACCATCTTCAAGGACTCACTCTCCCGCCTCTCCTCTCTGCCTGCTGCTAACCTCCCCTCTCACTCCATCCCGTGCTGTCCCTCCTTCGTGTGTTCCTAATGCCCCCCCCCACACCTGCAGTTCCTCCCCGCCTGCCTGCCTCTCACTTCCCTTCTCGCTCTATCTCATTCCCTCCCATCCCCTCGCTGCTGCTCTCTCCCACCCTCCCCCTTTTTGGCAGTCCCTCCCGCCTGCCCGCCTCTCAACCATCTTCAAGGACTCGCTCTCTCCGCCGCTCCTTGCTGCAGTGCTCTCCATCATCCTTTCAACTCTCTTCCGGTGAACACCAACTCACAAGTGTTTTGCTTACTTAATTCAATGACAAAGTGTTAAAGCTGTAGTCGAACCTGCTTTAATAAGGTTCGACTGCAACCCAGACGAGCTGGCAAGGCAGCCCAGTCGAGCTGGCAGGGCTGCCCACGGTGGAGAACTGCACTGTTGGCTACAACAACACCCTCTTCGCCTATGGCCAGGTGCGGCCTCCCCCTCCCCAGGTGTGCCTTCCCCTAGGTTTTCCCTCCCCCAGGTGCACTTGGCCATCTGGGGGCAACAGACAACATGTTGGTAGATACATAGCAGAGATGTAATACTATGGATGATGTGACGTCAACGACTCAGTGATACCGGTAATCTAGTGGTTGCGGCAAGTCAAGCGATTGAACTGCTGTATGTCATCTTTCGGTTTCGGTTGTCGGTCGCCCATGTTTTCATCACGGATGATCAAGTGAGACGAACTCTTGATGTGCGAAGCACGGATGTTGAGAGTTATAAGAAGGCTGAGTGGACGAAAAAGTTCAACGGAACACACTCTTAATATCTCGTTGAACTTCTTCGTCCAGTCAGCCTTCTTATAACTCTCAACATCCGTACTTCTCACGTCAAGAGCTCGTCTCACTTGGTCGTCCGTGATGAACACATGAGCGACCGACAACCGAAACCAAAAAATGACATACAGCAGTTCAATCGCTTGATCTGCCGCAACCACTAGATTACCGGTATCGCTGGGTGGTTGACGTCACATCACCCATAGTATTCCATCTCTGCTATGTATCTACCAACATGTTGCCTGTTGCCCCCAGATGGACAGGCGCACCTGGGGGAGGGAGAACCTGGAGGAAGGCACACCTGAGGGAGGGCGCACCTGGCCATAGGCGAATAGGGTGTTGTTGTAGCCAGCAATGCAGTTTTCCACCATGGACTGCCCTGCCAGCTCGAACAACCCAGTGCCCTGCAATGCTCTATATCTTCCCATCTGATTGCATGCATCTGCCCATCTTTCCTCTCCTGGCACATCCATGCATGCCCCCCCTTTGCCAGCATCCCAAAAGCCTTAACGTCACGGATGTTGAGCATGGTCATGTTCACGATTTTATTAGTCGACAAAAAAAACAGATGACTCTTGAGTCGTCTTAAAAAGCCATCGTATCTTGACCATGTCCATGTTTTGAGTCGACTAAAAACAGCATGTCCATGTTCCCGATCTCCTTAGTCGACTCAATATATTGGTTCCACTTGCGTGCCTCACCCTCCCACTTTACTTACCTCCGACACGGATGGAACAGCACCACTGGCTCTGCTTCCTGCCCTCTCCTCACACCCCTGTGCTTCCTGCCCTCTCCTCAAACCCCTCTCCCTGCCCTCTCCTCACACCCCTCTTCCTGCCCTCTCCTCACACCCCTCTCTTCCTGCCCTCTCCTCTAACCCCTCATTTCCTGCCCTCTCCTCACGCCCCTCTCTCCCCATCCTTCCCCTCCTCGCCCTCTCTCCCTCCCAGCACGGATGCCCTAGCAGCCGTGGCTCTGCTCTCTGCCTTCCCTTCTGTGCCGCGCTTCCCCATCCTCCTCGTCTGCATGTCTGCTGCTGACAAGCAACGTAAGTGTGATGATTGCAGAGAGTGGAGAGAGTGCTGAGAGCTGATAGTGCGTGCCTAGTGGCTCTGCTCCATCTCTTCCCTTCTGTGCCACGCTCTCCCATCCTCCTTGTGTGCATGCCTCCCGCTGACAAGCAGCGTGAGTCTCACACTTAGTGCAGAGAGTGGTGCCTTTCTGCTTTTACTTCCATTCCGTGGTTCCCCATCCCCTTCGACTGCATGTCTGCTGCTGACAAGCATCGTAAGTGTGATGATTGCAGAGAATGCTGAGAGCTGATAGTGCATGCCTAGTGGCTCTGCTCTCTGCCTTCCCTTCTGTGCCGCGTTTCCCCATCCTCCTCGTCTACATGCCTCCCGTTGACAAGCAACGTGAGTCTCACACGTAGTGCAGAGGATGCAGTGAGTGCTGTAACTTGATAGTTCTGGCCTGCCAGTGGCACTCCTTTCAGCATTCTCTTCTGTGTCGCACTTCCTCATCCTCCTCGTCTGCATGCCCTCGCCGACAAGCAACGTAAGTATGATAAGTGCTGAGAGTGCTGTAATCTGTTACTGGGTGCCCAGTGGCTGTGCTCTCTGCCTTCCCCCTTGCACCTCGCTTCTTGGTCCTTCTCATTGTCAACGGGAGTTGTTGTTGGCCCCGTCCTCGCTTGGGCGGAGCCGACCTCGAGGTCGGGTGTGAGGAGTGCAGCCGACCTGCAACAGTGGGCGAGCTGGTCGACAGGCCTGGTCGACCTGCACAGGGGCCACTGCAAGGGCGCCGACTTTGGGAGGGCGCCAACTTCGGCTGGTCGACTTGGGAGGTCGACCAGTGGAGGGCGTCGACTTGGGTGACGCCGACGAGGGTAAGCCGATAGGGTGTGGTCGGCTGACAGGTGTACTGGTCGACCTGGAGTTGGTCGACCAGGTGGGTTGTCGACCTGGAGTTGGTCGACCAGGGGAGTTGTCGACCTGGTTTGGTCGACATGAGGTGGTCGTCGACCTGGGCGGTCGACGGGCCTGGGATGACACACCTAGTCGACATGGTTGCCTGGTCGATCAGGTTACCCGGACGACGAGGTGTGCGAGGTTCGCGACCATCGCCCAGATAGATCGGCAAAGTCGACCTGCGGTTCGGTGGCACATGGTCAACAGGACTCCTCAGGTGCAACCGTCGACATATGGTCGACTTGGCACTTGCGCAATGTGCGTGGCGGTGCATGTCGTCACCGTCACTTTGCACCTGCGAAGTAGGTGCGCGCACATGAGCACGTGTGGTGACATGTGGTGGCCTGTTGTTGGTGTGCTGGCACGCCAGCCTTGCAGGTCGCCTGAGGACGCCTGAGGTCGACCAGCTGGCAAATCGCCTTCGTGCTGAGCTGGTGATCGACTTGTATGCTAGGCTTCTGATGTAGTCTACCTTGCCAATCTAGTTGCTACCCATTGTTCTCAACTTTTGATAGTGAAACTCTTGCGGTTTTGCCCCGTGACAAGTGCTAGAGAACGACTAAGGGAGCGAACGCAGAGATCCCTCCTATCCCGTGCCTAGCCCGTAGTCTAGCTCCCGTTGATAGATTTATGTCCGCATGGTGCGGTGAGCGTGGACGGCACACGACTTACCCCTTCAGTCAGGTCGACGTAGTGCCCACTTACCTAATTCGTGTTTGTAGGCCGGCAGCGGTGCGGAAGTCACTATGGTAGGCGCCGTAAGTGACGCAAGGGCGGTGGACACGAGGAGACGCCATGAGGCCAACGAGTACGGGCCAAACCTACCATTGGCGACCATCGAGGCATGCATCCGCTCGGTCTGGGCGAAAGAGCACCCTGCTCGACCAGCTTCTCCTCGACCGGTGAACAACGAGGGCGGCATCGACGTGGGAGTCAACGCCGGTGGTGACCAAGTCGACAGCAGTGCGGGAGGCACGTCGAGGCAACGAGGTGTGATACACGCTGATGAAGTCGGCGGCGTTCAGGCGCGAGGGATGCGGTCGTCGGCGGATGCAGGCTCCTCGCAAGGCGACGTTGGAGGACGACGAAGCAGTTTGTCGCCAATGTCGGCGACCCACATGACAGCGGGCGGGATTGCACCGAGCTACGGCTACTTCAAGTTTACGCCGGACAGGATCTTGGTCACCCCCTTGCTTGTTGGTCGACCTGATATCCTCACCTTGAAGGAAGCCATCGAGCTCCAGTCGAGTGCCGGGCTGATCGACTTCGCCAGGAGCACTGTGGCGATGCCGGAGGAACACTACCCCGACTTGCGTGCAGAGTTACGCGCCATGCAGTTGTTGACCTTCATGATCATCTCGCGGTGCTGCTCGCCGGGCGTGCAGATCGCCTTGAAGTCGTGCAGGGAGTACCTCGACGCCGGCCACCTGGCATAGCACTTCATCGAGTCGACTTACCAGGTCACTGACGACCTGTACATCGGCCAGCTTGAGGAGCAGCTGTCGCACATACGGATGGGCGAAGAGGAGACGACGACCGACTACTGCAACCGGGCTCGGCGAATTCTCGCCACCATGAGGATGGCCGGCGCGCACAACTCGATGGCGTCGTACCTCACACACGTTATCAAATGTCTCACGAGCAGCTACAACCTGTTGAAACGACTGTCATTGGCACCGAGTTCTAGGGCGACTCTCAACGAGGATTCTCTTACCTCGTACATCCTGCAGGATGAGGCGATGCAAGAAGCTGAGCGGCCCTCAGAGCTCCTTGCACAGGCAAACTACGTCGCCCCGGTGAAGCAAGGTGGTCGACTGGGGCAGCGCGGGCAGTCTGGCGGCGGTGGTAGCAGTGGCTGGAAGTCGACCAAGGACGCCGACAAGAAGAAGTCGGCCATGGATAGTGGTCGTGGAGGAGGAAGTCAACGTCAGGAGTGCTGGCTGTGCGGCAACCCCGACCAGAGTGCCCCTGCCGTAGTGACTCCGACGACGACGGCGACGACGCCAAGGGAGAGGTCTGGCAGCCGTCGTCCCCGTCGAGGCAGAAACCAACCGCGTAAGGAGAAGCAGTCGACCAAGTCGTCGACCTCGGCGAAGGACGCCGACTCCTCTGCTTGCGGCAAAGGGCGAGATGACAAGGAGGCGTCGTGCTCGCTGGTCGGCGTCGTGGAGCCGACCGTCTCGCTGGCGCAGGAGGCCGGCGAGGACTTCCAGGCGATGGCGGCAGCCGTGCAAGCAGATCCGGCAGTAGTTCTACTCGATAGTGGTTGCTCCCACCACTTGATGGGGACCAAGGAGGTCTTCGTCGACCTACAGCCAAGCGGCAATGTCAAGTACGTGCGCGACTTCAATGGGGCGCTGCAGGACGTCCAGGGCCGTGGCACTGTCGCTCTGCAAGGGGAGGCCGGGAGGCAGGTGCTCATCCCTGACGTGCTCTATGTCCCGGGCATGCGAGCGAACCTGCTTTCGGTCGGTCAGTTGAAGTAGAACGGCGTGAGGCTGCAGGAGGATGGCGACGGGATGTTGCTCGTCTCGGCAGCGGGAGACGTCCTCGGTCGGGCGTCCTACACCGGGCGAGTCCTCTGCACCGACCTGCGTCCCTGCTCGTCGAAGTCAACAACGCCCACGACGGAGGTTGTGGCCCTGCGGGCGATCGTCTCGGTGACGATGTTGACGCTGGACAGGCTGCATGCGAGGCTTGCACACGTCGGCATGAACACCATCCGGAGCTCAGCAAAGTACGAGGTCGCCACTGGGCTGGACCTCAAGTCGGCGTCTGGCGCCGACTTGCCATGTGTCTCGTGCGTCGGCGGGAAGCTGGCGCGGCACACCTTCCCCGACCAGGGCTCCGACGCCAACGACGTGCTGGCCGTCGTGCACATCGACCTGTGCGGGCCATTCCGGGTGGCTGCCAAGGATGGCAGCCTGTGCTTCTTGCTGCTGAAGGACCGCAAGACCCGCTACGTGTGGGTGAGGCCGGTTGCTAAGAAGTCGGATGCGCTGCAGGAGTTTGTGCAGTGGCTGGCGGTGGTTGAGCGGCAGACGAAGAAGTCGGTGTTGATTCTACGCTCTGACCGGGGAGGGGAGTTCCTCGAGAAGCAGTTCACCGACTTCGTGAACGGAAAGAGGATCGTCCACGACCTCACCTGCCCCTACACCCCGCAGCAGAACGGCATGGTGGAGCGCGAGATGAGGACGGTGGTGGAGTCGGTGCGAACGATGCTGCTGCACATGGGCGTGCAGCACCACTGGTGGCACCTCGCTCTACGGCAGGCCGTCTGGGTCCGCAACTGCCTGGAGCGGTCGACGCTGCAGCCGGGGACGACGCCATACCAGCTGCTGACCGGGAAGAAGCCCAACTTGTCGCTGGCCCGGGTATGGGGCTGCATGGCGCAGTCTTTGGTCCCCGAGCAGCAGCGTGGTGGAAAGCTGAAGCCAAAGGCCAGGTGGGGCCTTCACCTCGGCGTTACGGTGTGGAAGTCGGAGCACGGGCCGGCGTCGGGCCGGACGCCGACCACCCCGTCAACGGACACATCGACAGCGACACACCCTCTGCTCGCCGAGGTCGGTGAGCCTGCTGCTGAGGACGTCGAGGATGTCCCCTTTCCCTCCCCCTCTCCTGCCCCCTGTGCCCCTCCCCTTGTGGCCGACCTGTGTGGGCTGACTTCGGTGTCGGCCTTCGGCGATGAGGGGAGAAGTGGGACGTCGCCTTCGGCGCCGGCTAAGAGTATCGCCGGTGGCCGATGTGACGAGCAGCAAGTCGATGTGGGAGTGCAGCCGACTTTGGAGAAGCCGGCGAAGAAGGCACCAGCAGGGCAGTAGCCGACAGGGGAGCAGGCAGCGGTGAAGCCGACCACGAAGCAGTCCGCAACCAGGCAGTCAACAGAGGAGCCGACCACAAGGGAGAAGTCGGCAGGGATGCCGGCTGAGGTGCAGCAGGACGATGAGGGTAGTGAAGCTGGTGACGATTGAGGGGACGCCGAGGAGTTCACCGACAGGGACGTGATGGAGGTCCAGCGTGGACCACGGCAGTCAGGCCAAATTCGGAGGCCGCCCGACTTCTACGTACCGGCTGCCTTCACCACGGCGTACAACGAGGTCGACGACGACATGCAGTACGACGACGCCGAGAAGGATGAAGAGCTGCCGGAGCTCGACCCCGACATGCACGCCGACCCCGAGCACCGTTGGGACATCTCGACGATGACGGTGAAGGTGGTGTTGGCAAGCTGGAAGGGCAAGGCGGTGAAGGCCGCCATGGAGGAAGAGATCCGCAGTCTCATCGGCATGGGAACCTGGGAGGTGGTCGAACGCCCACCCGAGGTGAACATCATGAAGAACCGGTGGGTGTTGACGACGAAGTACCACATCGACGATACCGTCGAGCGAGAAAAGGCAAGGCTGGTTGTGAAGCGCTTCACACGGGTGTATGGTGCCGACTTCGACGAGACGTATGCGCCGGT